ATTAACCTCTTGAACATGATGAGTTCATGAGAAGAATAAAATTTTTGACTTGACCTCTCGCAATGAATAGACTTAAGTAACTAAACTTGTGAGAATATATATTGTATATATTGTATATTAGGAATTAGGCAATTTCCTTTTCTTTGTATTTCCTTTTTCTGTCATAGATTAGGGCTATATAATTGATGCACTCTTTGTAAACAAATTACACAATTGAATATACAAAATTATTCAGAATCTTACATGGTATCAAAGCCGTGTTCGAAAGCCTAAGGTCGCGATCAGTCTTCGTGAACCCCAGTATCGTCGCCGCTTCTCAACCGTCGTCGTCGTCGTCGCTTCATCAGTCATCGTCGCTTTTCTCTCTGTCTTTTGCCGGAATCGCGAGACCGTGTTCTAGTCTGAATCATGACCCCTCTGTTTCGTCTCTGCTAATCGAACCGTTTCTCAGTTGCGACTCATCGCGAATCAGAACCCTTAGTTGCGAAACTCATCGCGAATCGGAACCACTTCTGTCTCTGTTCCTTGCAACTTTGACCTATTGCGATTGTTGATCTTCTCTAGTTCTCTGGTTCGTGCGATAATTCTCGTTTGATCTCTGGTTCATTGCCTCGGGTTTGTGTGTCACATACGTGGGAATTGTTTCTCTGTTCGTGGAAATTGATTCACATATATGTTTCTATGTTCCTCTTTATTACAATCTGATCCCAAAGGTTTCTGATAATTACACTCTGACCCTGATATTTTTTGGTTATTGCATTTTTTGCCCCGAGGTCAGATTACTGTATTTTGGTCCCTTCTCTATGTTTGTCATGTCGATCGCATCTTCTCATCAGCTCCATTCTTTTGTCCCGCCCAAGAAGAGGCTTTTAGCCTCAGATGAGTGTGCTTTCTACCATCAGATAGGACATTGGAAGTATCAGTGTCCTAAGAAAAGACGTCTGCCTGCTCCGTCTTCTCAGCAGTCTCCAACACAGTTCCGAGCTGCACCTCCAAGTTCTTTTCAGTCTCCGATTGCATACACTGTCTCTACTCCGGCTCCTAATCCTGACTTGGCTTCCTTGAGTGCTCAGATTAGCCAACTTCAGCATATACTGTCTGCCTCCTAGCCATCTCCATCAGCCTCCATTGTTTCCTCTCTTCATTCAGGTTTGCTTGAGTCTTCTTCAGGTATCTCTTCGTCTGTTTGGCTTTTTGATTCTGGTGCCTCTTATCATATGACTCATCATCTCTCTTTACTCCAGAATTGTACTCCGCTTCCCGTTCCTATTACTGTTAATGCTGCTAATGGGTCTGGTATGTCAGTTATATCTGTTGGGTCTATCTTACTGCCTGCTATCTCTGCTGTCTCTATTCCATTTGTCCTTTATGTTCCTCAATTATCTGTCAGTTTATTATCTATCAGTTAGCTTGATGCCTCTGGTTTTGATGTTATCTTTTCTTCTTCTATCTGTTCTGTGCAGGATCGAATGTCCAAGCAGCAGATTGAGACTGGCTACAGAGTTGGAGACCTCTATGTGGCGGAGAGCTTGCATCTACCTATGACAACTTCACTAACTGCTTTTTCCTCTTTTCAGTTAGATTCTCTGTCCAATCCTTTCTACTTATGGCATTCTAGATTAAGGCATTTGTCTGCTAACCGTTTACGGTCTTTAGCTCAGTCAGGTATCTTAGGTAAGGTTTCTCCTAGTGAACTTACTGAATGTCGGGGTTGTAAACTTGTCAAAATGACGGCCTTACCTTTTCGTAAAAGTACTTCTATATCTGATACACCGTTTTCTTTAGTTCAGACTGAAGTTTGGGCTCCTTCTCCTGTTCTCACCAAAGGGAGTTCTGCATACTATGTGTCATTTGTAGATGACTGCACCCGTTACACTTCGGTTTATCTATTGACTCATAAGTCCGATTTCTATCAAATCTACCGTACCTTTTAGTCCATGATCACTACTCAGTTTGGGTCTACAATTAAAGTCCTATGGTCTGACTTGGGTGGGGAATATTTTAAAAATGAGTTCTGTGAGTATTTGGCCACTTTGGGTACCATCCACCAAACTTTCTGTACAGATACACCTGCCCAAAATGGTCGAGCCGAGCGTAAACACCATCATCTCCTTGAGACAGCTAGGTCTCTTCTTTTCTCTACCTTAGTTTCGGCTCCATTCTGGGGGGAGGCAGTTCTTACTGCTGCTTTTCTTCTCAATCGCATGCCTACTCCCATTCTTTCTGGTCGGTCTCCTTATGAGGCTTTGTTCTCTCAAATTCCTAACTACTCCCTCCTTCGTGTGTTTGGGTCTGCCTGTTTTGTCCCCCTTCCCCGTAAAGATAGGACTAAACTTAGTTTCCGGTCAGTCCTCTGTGTCTTTTTAGGTTATAGTCCTACTCAAAAAGGCTACCGTTGTTATGACCCTGTCTCTCGTCGTCTTTATGTCTCCCGTCATGTTGTCTTTCTCGAACGTCTGTCTTACTTTCAGCTTTCCCCTCTCACTGCTCGCGTTTCCAAAGAAGATTTGGTTCACAATGACCCATTTCCTTCTGAGGTCCTGTCTGATGAGTACATCGCCACTGTTCCTCCTAAGGTCACTCCTACTTCTCCGTCTATGTTACCTATGGCTGCTTCTTCTCCTTCGGCTGCTTCTTCTCCTCCGTTGTTGGTCTATTCTCGTTGCAAGGCTCCCCCACCACCAGCTGTCTCTCCACCACTAGTTGTCTCTACTCTTGTTGCTGCTCCTTTTGCTTCTGACGACTCTGATCTTGCTGCACACCGCTATTCTCTTCGTGAGTATCGTCCTCTAAGGGTTGGTCTAATACATGTTTTTCTGCTTCCTATCGTACTTTTTTGTCTACTATTCACTCTTTTTCAGAACCTCAATCTTACAAGGAGGCCTGTCAGAGTCCTAATTGGGTTCAAGCTATGGAAGATGAGTTGTTTGCCTTACAGAAGACTAACACTTGGGAGTTGGTTCCTTTGCCTGCTGGCAAGAATCTGGTTGGTTGCAAATGGGTCTATAAAGTCGAGACTGATTCTAATGGTTCTTTTGAGCGCTACAAAGCTCGCTTGGTTGCCAAAGGTTTCTCATAGGAGTATGGTATTGATTATGAGAATAGCTTTGCCCCTGTTGCCAAGATGACTACTGTCCGTACCTTGATTTATGTTGCTGCTGTTTGACATTGGCCCCTCTATCAGATGGATGTTAAGAATGCTTTTCTTAACAGATATCTCACTGAAGAGGTCTACATGCGTCCTCCCCTTGGTCTTCTCCACTCTTCTAGGAAGGTTTGTCATCTTTGGCGTGCTTTGTATGGTTTGAAGTAGTCTCCTTGTGCTTGGTATGATCGCTTTCAGACTGCTGTTACCGGGCTTGGGTTTCATCCTACTGCTTCTGACTTTGCTTTGTTTCTCAGATGTACCTCGGCTGGTTTTGTTGCTCTCCTACTTTATGTGGATGATATGATCATCACTGGTTCTGACTCTTCTGCTATCTCTGAGGTCAAGCAACATCTCGTCCGCACATTTGAAATGAAGGATTTGGGTCCATTGCGGTATTTTCTTGGTATTGAGGTTGCCTCTTCTCCAAAAGGCTATTTGCTGTCTCAGGCCAAATATGCTAATGAGGTTATTCACCGTGCCGGCCTTACTGATACTAAGGTTTTTGATACACCTATTGAGCTTAATGTAAAGCTCAACTCTACTGATGGTGTCCCTCTGGATGATCTCACGGTCTATCGCGAGCTGGTGGGTTGTTTAGTTTATTTAACTGTCACTCGCCCTGATCTTGTTTATGCTGTTCACGTGATTAGTTCGTTTCTGCTCCTTGCTCTACTCATTGGGTTGCTTTGGTTCGTATTCTTCGTTATCTTCGGGGTACCATTTTTCAGGGCTTACTGTTGTCATCTACTTCCTCTTTAGACTTGGTGGCCTATGCTGATTCTGATTGGGCTGGTGATGTTACTGATCGTAAGTCCATCTCTGGTTTCTGTATGTTTCTTGGAGATTCCTTGATCTCTTGGAAAAGAAAGAAACAAACTATTGTTGCTCGCTCTACTGCCGAAGCTGAGTACCATGCTATGGCTCATGCGACTACTGAGCCTGTTTGGCTTCATTGTCTTCTCTCTAATTTGGGTGTACCTCAGTCTTCTCCGACCTCCCTCTATTGTGACAACCGCAGTGCTATTCAGATTGCCCACTATACTGCCTTCCATGAACGGACGAAACAAATTGAGATTGATTGTCACTTTGTCCGACAACATCTACAGTCTGGCTCTATCTTACTTCCTTTTGTCTCCTCGGCTTTGCAACTTGCGGACTTCTTCACCAAGACTCACACTACCTTCTCGATTTTAGTTTCGCTTTAGCAAACTTTCAGTGTTTTCTGCTAAAACACCTTGAGTTTGAGTAGGGGTGTGAGAATATATATTGTATATATTGTATATTAGGAATTAGGCAATTTCCTTTTCTTTGTATTTCCTTTTTCTGTCATAGATTAGGGCTATATAATTGATGCACTCTTTTTAAACAAATTACACACGCTACAATAAAAAGCATATTTGGCGACACTTTTTAGCAACCAAACAAAAATTTAGTTGCCAAAGATACATAATTAGTGACAGAATATTTGTGGTCACTAAAAAATAAACTTTTGGCAACGAATTTATAATTTTGGTCGCTATTGATTTTGGCGCCAAGTGAATTTCTTGCCCGAGAGCACGAAAAACTTTTCAGCGACCAAATTAATTTACAGCGACAGAAATTTTAGTCGCCAATTATATTTGTTTGGCGACAGACATTACTTGGTCGCTAAATATCTGAATAGCATTTTTGGCAACCAAATTAATTTGGTTGCCAATAAATTATATGTCTTTACCCTAATTTTTTATTGCAAAAAATTGTTGACAAGTGAATTAACCAACAATTGACCTAACTTCTTCTCATTTTCTCATCCATCTGAAACGGCACAGCACAGAACGGCACAGCACAGATCAGGTATCTTCTTCTTCTCATCTTCTTCTCTCTCTCCCTCTCCCTCTCCTTCTTACTCTCTCACGCCGTTGAATGCGAAAAGCACAGCAGAGCTCGGCGGCAGCAACACTGGGCGGCAACAGATCGCGACCCTCTTTTTGGGTCGCTGCTCTGTTATCTTCTCTGTCTCTGATATTGTCCTTTTGGTTCCTATTATTATGTTATTTATTCTTGTTCTTTTGGTTCCTATTATTGTCCTTTGGGACCCTATTCTTGTCCTTTTGGTTCCTATTATTATGTTATTTATTCTCCTTAGTATCCACCTATATCTGATCAGTTGTTCAAATTGCATCATGTGGGCCTCGGTTGAAAGACATTCGAATTGGCCTAACCTTATCATGGGTATTCTTTTTGCAGGTAGATTCTGATACCCAAATCCCCCCTTCCCCTCTTCATCTTCTTTCCCACCCCTTCCCATTTTATGTTTGTGGTTCAGAAGCCTTTGGAATCTTGATATGTTTGGAATCTTGGTATGTACATACGGCTAGGTATGCATTTATGTGTGCTTTTATGTGTATCAATATATGCATATATATATATATATATATATATTGTATGCATCATTGAAGTTTTTTGGGGTTGGTCATGCTAAACTGTTCTATTTGTTTTGCTACTTACTTGTGTTGTTGTCTGCTACAGCTCTGCACTTTTTCTTCTAGGGTCTGAACTTTTTCATTTTTGTTTGTTTGGTATTTTGTATTCTTTCCAGTAGAGATAACAAGCAGTTGGGGTTGGAAATTTATTTATTTGGGTTTACCTTGCATACAAGTACTGACAAATTTGCTGCATAAGTGGAGTTGTTTGGAACCAGAAAATGGCGGTCATGGTTAATGTGTTTTATACTTGTGTTTGCCTGGTGGTGTAGATTGACGACCATAGATCTCCTTTATTAATTCTTTACAATTTTAAAATGCTTTTCACTTTTATTGGTTGCTTTTCTCATTTCATGATTGTTGTGGCTAGAATTGCATAATTTGAACTTGTAACTTTGCATATGAACATCCGTCTGCAAATTTTCAGTGTCTCGCTCTACTCTTTAGAAGATCATTAATTATAGATCTCCTTTATTAATTCTTTACGATTTTAAAATGCTTTTCACTTTTATTGGTTGCTTTTCTCATTTCATGATTGTTGTGGCTAGAATTGCATAATTTGAACTTGTAACTTTGCATATGAACATCCGTCTGCAAATTTTCAGTGTCTCGCTCTACTCTTTTGAAGTTCATTAATTTCTGTCTATGTTTCTTCAAGTTTTTGTCTATGCTTTGGAAGTGATATTGGAGCTTTTGAATTTGCTTTGTGTTTTTGGCAGTAGTTTTTTCATTTGTGCTTTAAATTATATCTTCCAGGTCATTCGTCTGAAGTATCTGCATCCAGATAGCGAGCTTCAAAACTTTGCTTTGCAGGTTATGGAAATGCTTCGTGTAGATAGTTCTGCCGATGCACAAGCATTGGTAATTTTTTAAAAACAAATTTGCAACTTGAACTTTAATTTTCCCCTTAATTTGATGAGATGGTCATTTGAGTAAAGATCTGATCAGCCGTTAGTGTGGGTTTGAATTATTTGATTGATGAATTTTTTGTTTTGTAAATGTCAATTCAATATTGATTGAAAATTTTATTTGTGAATTTAAAATCTTCAATTTTTATGTTTATAAAAATGAATATTTTAGTAAACGAAACTTTGGTAACGATGTAATAAAATAAATTTTGTAGTATAATTAAGACCCCTCTTAAAAGATTTCTGGGTCCCCAGTGCTCGACTGTAGCCCAAACAGAAGGGCTTAAATCTCGAAACCAATTCAAGCTAAAGCTAGGTCAAGTAGGTTTTCAGTTGTTAACAATACTGATGGTAGACTGGTTCACAATTTGTGCAAGACATTGCTCCATTACACCAAAAGATAAATTGCACAAAAACTTGCATCAAACACGACACAATTTTTCAAATGCACATATTTAACTGTTTTATATTTAAAAACTCCCCCCTTGAAAAATCATAAAAAAAGTATGATGACCCACTTGAGTGCACATCTAGCCCACTCAAGTGTACTGCACATAGTCATGTAGAGATCTACAGTGAACCACGTAAAACAGAACCTGGAAGACCACTTGAAGGGAGGATTGTGAAGTACAGACTCCAAAGACATCAACCTGAAAGGGCACTCAACATGCCGCTCTCTATTGGAAACAAGAACATTTATTGAGTATCCTTATATGTTATTTGACATTCATTTCATGCCCATATCTCTCCATTAATTTCATGTATAGTGCAATTTTAATTTAAAATTTGATTTACAATTATCAATTATTATAGGTTATCGGTTAATGCAGAGAGATAAAAAAGCTGCACTCGTTCGTTGGGGGCAATTACTACATCAGGTAATCTTTGACTATTTGTTAAGGCATTTTTAATTTATTTAGAGAAGTTTGACACTTTTTTATTAAATTTGTGGGTATTAGAGGATTCACTTAATTGTATTCTTAGGATTCACTTATTGTATTCTTAGTTTCGTTTTACTATTGTGAGCATTCATGATATAACAAACAATTAGATGATCCAAGGAACTATTTGATATATAAATAAGATAAGCCCAAATATGCTAATTAGGGGGTGGTTGTTGTGTTTTGCTACAAAAATCTCAATTCCATGTCTAACTCAACAAATAAATAAGTCAAATTGCTAAAATAAATGAATATGCTTCTACAAAAATAACTAACCTGATATATAACAATTTGAAGACCATAATGTATATAGCAATTATAATTTATATATCTATGTCATCACTTACTATATAATTATTTTTCACTCTTTACTCTACATTGCATGCTTTACTCGAATAGTAATTCGACGAATATCAATAAACTCCTTCTGAGGTATACAAATTGGAGTTCCAACCTGTGTAGTCCAGTTTAAATGGTATCAGATACCTTTGACACAAGCTCTGAACATATAAATTTCATTTTCCTTTGTTTTAAATTTGGAGGTATAATTGAAAATGTTCCTAGGCCAAATATGCTAATTAGGGGGTGGTTGTTGTGTTTTGCTACAAAAATCTCAATTCCATGTCTAACTCAACAAATAAATAAGTCAAATTGCTAAAATAAATGAATATGCTTCTACAAAAATAACTAACCTGATATATAACAATTTGAAGACCATAATGTATATAGCAATTATAATTTATATATCTATGTCATCACTTACTATATAATTATTTTTCACTCTTTACTCTACATTGCATGCTTTACTCGAATAGTAATTCGACGAATATCAATAAACTCCTTGTTATTATTTTGAGGGCGTTACACAACCTGTGTAGTCCAGTTTAAATGGTATCAGATACCTTTGACACAAACTCTGAACATATAAATTTCATTTTCCTTTGTTTTAAATTTGGAGGTATAATTGAAAATGTTACTAGCATATCATATGCAACAGCTTCCAAATGATTTTACATATAAAGTAACTGATCTTTTAGTGCAATAGAAATGTCAAAGCCAAGGCAACATAGCTGCTATATTTACAAGGGAGGAGATAAATAAACACTTCAACAATATTGAGAAACTGTAACTTTTCCCATGTCAAAAAAAATGTAAATTAGAATTAGAATTTTCTAAGATGAAATGATGTTTTCCAGGTGCCATAGGGCATTTCATGCATAATATAGGGATTTATGCTTGTTTAATGATAAACTCAAGTTACTAAATATACTTGCTAGTTGAATAACTTGAATGTCCAACCATACATGTCGGACACATGTCAAGTTTCTGAAACAGGCACTTCATATATTTAGAAGAGTTAAGGTAACATAGATTTTCACTAAATTGATTCAGTTTTGTGTTGAATTAGGTTATCAAACAGTCCCAAGCAAGTGAATTAGGAGGAATCAAGTGTTTAACAAACTGAAAAAAGTATATAAAGATAAATCATAATATGACTAACTTTCAAAGTATAATTCATGATTGTTGCATAATCAACTGCATCGAGGGATCTCATTACACATTATTTTAATGAAAACCCATCAGTACTCTTCAATTTTCTCAAAACCCAGCAATTTCGTTCAAAACAATTACAAAACAAATTAAACATTCATCAGGTCCAGAGGAGTCCACCTATACAAGCAACGCAATGCAAGCACATCTCACAACAAAGAATGGATAACTAGGAATCAGCATCTCACCAGGATATTTGTTCCAAATCTAGGCTTTCCAATTACATGACTTAGCTGCAAATCTAAAATGTCAAACAAATAACGAAGTAATAATGATGATCATCATGATGATTCAATACCTTAGCAATGCCTTCAAGAACATCAACCCCCAAAATGATGGAATCTTTCTTGTTAAAAACACAGTTTGGCATAATCTTGAGAATACATGGGAAGACCACCTCTTCAGAAGCTTCCTTCTTCTTTTCTTCCTTGAGATTGTCAATGTAGGCCTTAAACTGATCAAACAGGTGATAAATGATATCAGCAATGAATATCTTGACACCAACTTCATCCGCAAGTTCCTGAGCCTCTGGCGTCACTTTAACATCAAAGGCCAAGATTGTGGCATATTCCTTTTTCTTCTCAAGTATAACACTAGCCTTCATTACATCCTTCTTATGTACAGGGCCTATGGGGAGTGATTGCAGATGCATGTGATAAATTAAAACTAACTTTATATAGGCTGAAGTGTGCTGCATGCACTGTGGTAGAGCACAAGTATTGATCTTTAGGTTGAAAAAAAGAACTAGGAATATGTACAAATTTATAGAGATATTGCTTGTAATTAGTTCATATATGCTAAGTTTAACTAGTGAATCATGTGTTACTTTTTGATTTTGGTATATTGAAATTTTGTAATTCACTATAGGAAAATTTGCTCTCAATTTGTTCATCTATAATGTGAAACCAATGTTTTTAGACCAAGACCTTTATTATTAACATTTTAACACTATAATTTTTTTTTTCATATGTTTGATAGATTGGCAATGGATGGAATATAGTTCGGCGAGCATCAAAGGATTACATTTTGAATTTTTGGATATATTTTGTCATAGGTTTTTGTTATGAATTTGCAAGCTTGGAAGATTTTTTGGAATTACATGTTTGAAGTTTTTTTCATATGTTTGACAGATTGGCAATGGATGAAATATAGTTCGGGGTGCATCAAAGGATTACATTTTGAATTTTTGGATGTATTTTGTCATGGGTTTTTGTTATGAATTTGCAAGCTTAGAAGGTTTTTGGGCATTGCATGTTTCAAGTTTGGGATTGTAAGATATTTGTACTTAAATTGGATGTTTTGGATTTGATATGTTGTTTATATTTAATATGGTACTACTTTTGAATTAAGTTTATATATTGGATGCTTTGCACAAGTGTGTTAATTTGAATTATATTTTGCTTATGTTTATAGGTTTATGAATTATGTATTGAACAGGGAAATTGTTAAAAAAAATTTTAAATAATGAATTTTTGGTGACAGGTTTTTTTAGTTGTAAATTTACTTTTGGTGACATTTTATTTATGTTGTTGAAAGTATGTGTCAATTTTTTTAGCGACCCAAAACTTGATTGGTCGCCAAAAGTTTTAACATTCAACAACCAATTTTTTTAGTCACTGAAAGATATTTTTAGCGACGCATTTATATGTTGTTGAAACTTAACATGTCATCAGCTAAAGGCTATTTTTAGTGACTAAATGTTAATTCATGGCGACGAAATTTTAGTCTTTTGGCGACGGAAATATTTGGTCGCCAATTTATTTATAAAGGCAACCAAAATTGATTTGGTCGCCAAAGCACTTAGTGACAGGGCTTTAGCGACCAATTTTGTTCATGTCGCGGATACTTTAAGCAACCAAAATTACACTTTTGGTGACTAAAAAACAGGTCGCTAAAAGTGTTTTTTTTGTAGTGACAATTAAATATACAAAACTATTCAGAATCTTACAAAACTAAGCAACTATAAGTTATAAAGGCAACCAAAATTGATTTGGTCGCCAAAGCACTTAGTGACAGGGCTTCAGCGACCAATTTTGTTCATGTCGCGGATACTTTCAGCAACCAAAATTACACTTTTGGTGACTAAAAAACAGGTCGCTAAAAGTGTTTTTTTTTGTAGTGACAATTAAATATACAAAACTATTCAAAATCTTACAAAACTAAGCAACTATAAGTTTGGGCTAGCTTAATTTTTTTCCCCTCTAAATAAACTAATATTGTATTTTTTGTTTGTATGTACTAAAAATAATTAACCTCTTGAACATGTTGAGTTCATAAGAAGAATAAAATTTTTGACTTGATCCCTCACAATGAATAGACTTAAGTCACTAAGCAACTATGTAGCTTCAATATAATTTTTTTTCTATGCAAATTGAAAAATCTAGAAATCCCCTAGATGTTGATTTGTGATTATGTATCAATTTTAAGCAAAATATAACAATCCCAATCAAACAATCAAGACAAAGAGACACAACGATTTAACGTGGAAAAAACCACAATTGGACACCTCCAACTGTGATCAAAAAAACCACTGGCAACAGCCACAAGACAATCCACTAAGAAGAATTAAAGGAATTACACAGGTATACTCTCAATTACCTATCGAATCCACAACGCCTAATTGAACCAACCTTTATGTGCCTCTTCCAACCCCATCTTCACCACGGAATTGTCTTTCTGATGAGCCACTCTGGATTCCACCACAGCTTCAGGCTCGAATTCTTCAGAATACACAACTGAAGAACAACACTCTCTTTTGTAGAACAAAACACAACCTTTGATGTACTCTCTTTAGAACATGAGTTGAAGACTCAATCAAAACATCAAAGAAAACTAGCAAATCTCTCCAGATCTAAACCTTAAGATCCAAAAATAAGATCTGGAGCAGTCCCTCTAGTGTTGGGAGAAAACCAACTATTTATAGAAAACCAAAGCAATCCTACTTTCAGAAGAAAACCAACTCTTTAATCAAATCTGGAAATCTGGGATCGCGCGGTCCGCTCGAGCGTGGGTCTTCCCGCTCGAGCGGAGACTTCAAATTCTGTGATTTCATACAGGCTCCACGCTCGAGCATCGGTTTTGATGCTCGAGCGACAAATCACACCATCCAGTACTTTTTCAGGCATTGCAGAGATACTGTGAGCTCGCAAACCCCGCTCGAGCGCCCGTTTCCCCGCTCGAGCGGACAGGCCAAAACTGGAAAAATTGGAAAAATATAACATGATCGAACAGGCAACTTTGAATGCATTTTTGCATTTTGCTTCGGGTTGGCAATCTTGAAAGCTTTATCCCCGTCATAATCAGCGAAGTGGCAATCTTGAAAGCTTTATCAACACAAACTTCTCTGAAAGGCTTGATTCGGGTTGGATTCGCATCTAAACACTCAAAGTCTTACTGAAATAAAAATGTGAATAAAATTACAACTCAAAGGAGTTTTGTCAAACGGGTTTGCCAAGAAATAAAATCTAACACAAATAATTTGTTTGAATAATATTACATGCTTAGCAGGCAAGGCTCAGTCCCAACAAAAAGGGTTGAGCATGGAATAAGGAGTTTAGGTCCAACATGAGGTAAGATTGCTCCAATTCCATGTTCCCCTTTGTCGTCATATCAACTATGTCTAAATTCCCAATTAAAATATTTGGGTTGAGGGAGTCATTTGATTTATTGTTTTGTTACAGTAAAAGATAGTTGTTCTCGTGTATTTATAAAAAAGAAGTTTAGTTTTAATCATAGATAAAATGAAAATTTTATTAAATAATTGGTGTAATAATTGGGCTTAATAACCTTGAGGTTATGAGTTCAAGTCTTGGGACTACCACTTTGTACATTATGCCAAAGGTTAGGTGTGTACTCAATTTTTTCCCTTCCAAACACGCATTAATGTGTACTAATTGGGTGTTGTAATTGGTGTAATAATTGTGATTAGATAGAAAATACTCATATAAATTGATAATTTTTTGTAGGCTTTATTTTCATGCCAAATTTTAATATTGTATGAATATTTTTACTTAATTTCTTGTTCCCTTTATAAGAGTGAGAAATAGAAAGAGAGAATGCTAAATATTATCTATATATGTTCCTTGTTATATAGATGCCTTTTGTCAAATTTAATTAGAATTAATGTAATAAAAAGGAAAAAACCAAATTTCATTAATTTCATTAAGGGGAATTGCAATTGAGTGCTAAGTTAGCAAAATAATTGTAATTTTCATGGAACTACAAATGGGTATGTGTCCAATGCAACTGAAAGTTGAGCCATGGGACATAGGTCTGACTTGCACTTTCATAAAAGCAAAGTGCAATTATTTTGCTTGAAAGGCTCACAACCATTGCAGGAGAGGAGGCCCAATAAAGGGAACAATGCCTTGATCAACTCTTAGTGAGTTGAGGGAAGAAGGAAAGGTCCACCAAGCAGCTTTTTGGAGATCGGAGGAAGAATTACAAATCTCTTGAAGAACTGATACCTGCATATGGAACACATCTCAACAAATGGTGGTTGCCAGAGACAGGTGCAATCCCAAGGAGTGAGGTACCGCTGAGCAAGCAGAGTAGGGTGCTAGGGGGACATGATGCCATAATAAAGCCATGTGCAAGACGAAATAGCAGCCGACTTGTCCCCTAAAAGTAGTACAACAGAATTGATATCTCTGAGAAGATGGGTTACTTGACGCTATAGATATATATAAAGAGGTTGGTTCAACGAATAGAGGTATGAATAGAACATCTTCAGACATATACCCCTGGTTATCTCTTCTCACAATTTCTGTAGGCAGTGTCAGAGTGCTCTCCAGCTGACAACACCGACCGGGCAGCAGCACTAATGGTGTTTGGGTTCCTGCAGGGATTTCAAGCTTGGGAGGTGTCATCCTACTTTCTTCACAATTTGAGAATTTTTCCCTCCTCGCACACCGACTTTCCACTAATTTGCAATTCTCCCTTAATTTATGATACCAATATAGAAAATTTTCGAAAATGCATTGTTAGATTGTAAATTAAAAAAAAAAAAATCTATTTCTCTCTGTAAGTACTTTCATATGTTTCATGATTTGATAAAATGAAAAACGTAACCACATTTGTACAACTAGATGGGAGACACTCATTATGTGAGTGCACGACAACCAAATTATCGGCAACAATTTTCTTGTAATGGCTTCTAATAATTTATATATATTTTTTATTTAGGAATGTGGGTGCTAAGATATTCATAAACTCCATGGAAGTTGAATTATGTGTGGTGAAATTAAAAAAATTATGTGAGGTGAAAACATGATCTCAGTTCTGATGTTAGTGTCACTTTTGAATCAACCAAACAGAAGCCTCCTTGGAGCAAAGTGGCCCTCTTCTATCGCCTCCCTGCACCTAATTCTCCTATTACCATTCACATTTTTTTTGTTTAATTTGTTTGCTTTGACTGCTATTGATGGAAAAGATCATCGTATTTCATTTTTTTGTAGTGTCACTAATTTGAGTTCTTGATTCTTTATAATCAGTCTACATTAGTTTTTCAGTCTTTCCTTAATGTCAAAAGTTTGTAAGTCAAAATGTCTATTTTTTTTCCTCATTCCCCCCCCCTCTTCTTGCTGGTAGAAGGGAAAGGTCGATCGAAAGTTGGTGGCATGTTTTTTCTATCTCAGAATCGTTCTCAGCATTTTAGTTCTCTGTTGTCTTTGGACAAAGCTTCAAGGTTTGTTTCACAAATTATTTTCTTTGTTTTCTAAACCACAAAACAAGGGTATAGAACTTTTGTTTTTTTTTTCTTTTTCTCCTAAAGGAAATTCTTAGAAAGAGCAATGAGATTTTCCATGCTAAATTTATAATTTTTTTTAAGAGTGTAAATTTGAACTAGATGTAGAGATTCTCAGTATCTCTCAACTTGGGCTACAAAAATTTGAAAGAACAAGAAAAATTAAAAAACTAATTTGGTTCTTGGTCTAGTTTTCAGTTCCAAAATATGAGTATCATTTTTGGTTAGTTTTATTCTAGACATATCTAAAATTGAGCTGACTTGACCTATACGCACGTCCATAGATATTTGGGTTGTTTTAGATTTTAAAGTTATGTCAGATTCGTAAAGGAAAAATTTAACAAGTGAATTACATATTAAAGCTAAGCAAGTCAAAATAGATCAAATAATACGAACTCCAATCAATATATTTACTTGTCCAAGCAGATGGCATTGCATATGCTAATGCACAAGGGGGCTTGGGTCAAGCAGCTGACATAAGAAGATATGGATATCAGGTAAATACTTAAATAGAAAGTTTTATTTATGAGTACAAGTAGATGAATACTATTCATGAAAAGATTTCTAAAAATAGTTTATATTGGTATTTTGTCATTGCATTAGCAGGTAGTTTACAAAT